CTTCTTTCGAGCTACGCCCACAGATTTTCGTACTAACTGGTGTTACTCGTGAGTTCCCGAACAACACCGTCCTTTCCTTTTGCACTGTTCAGCGAAGTAACTGAGCACATGTGCTTTTTCTATCTCAAGCTTATCGATAAATGTAGGTACCTCAAACGATTTTTTGCATCTGTCAACGTAATCTCCTAGGAAGAGTATTTTGTTTTGTGGAGGTGGTCCGACTATAGTGAAGAATCTGAAAAAAAACTGATTATATGAAATTCTCGACAATTTCGAACTCCACTTTTCCATAAGAGGTTAACCCATGGCGTAGCGCGTGCAGCACCATGCTTGTCACCCTCATTTTTTCATCCCTATCATGTAGAAGCTTGCTGTTCATAATGCAGTACGCATTTCACAAGAACTGTTTGACATTTTCTCCTGCTCCAGCGTTGCAGGTATACAAATCTCATGATTCCGCAGCATTGCGAACTCTAACTCATTCGCGATATTACTTCCCCATGCATCACCTCGCAAATGTGGTGGGTCGTAAAGAAGACAGTCATTGAGGGACTTCTGTTAGATCAACAGTACGACGAGATTACCGAAGTAAATCATGAAGCTGTCCATGAATATCACCAAAGATTACAATTGGAGCGTCTATTTCCAGCGTGGCCGGCTGTGGTTCCAGAGAAGCCTTTGCCTGAAAACTGCAGTTTTTTAAGTTTCCCATTTTTCCTATTTGATAACTGTTGAATATGGTCCAGTTGGTGAGCAATGGAGCTGCTTGCTGTAGTTCAGCTAACTGTTGCCGCTTGCTTCCTCCTCAGATTGTCAGGTGTTAGTTTGTATGGTCTTTGTTGGCTATTTGAGTCAGGCATCTAGGTGCTGTGTACGGATTGAGGCATGGAAGGTGCTCGGACATGCTGTGGTGAGGTGGCTAAACCACTTCCCGAACAACATAACAGCGAAAAGAAGAATGCCTTATAATAAGAGGAGCAGAATGTCCAAAATGAAAAGGCAGCTGAGTCCTCCAATACACCAGGTTGCCTGCACATACTATGGATTGTTTATGAGCGGGTAATCAACTCAAGCCTAAGTGAACTTGTCTCGATCTCGCTGGAGCAGTTTACAAATAAAAGCTACGGCCCTGCGGATGGCCTTTCTGGACCTTGAGAAGGCATTTGATCGACTATCTCACCCTGTATTTTGGAGGGGACGGAATCTCTCAGGGAACGGAATCCCCTAACAACTGATCTTTCTTGTGAAGGGCATGTATGTTGGGTTCAACGCGGCTATAAGCGCCAAGCACGGCCTTATAAAGGAAAGACATCGCGGTTTGAGCGCGCAGGGATCGGCTCTGGGCTCGTTCCTAATCTCGCTAGCTCTGGATGTCATAGTGAAGAACTCATGGAGAGCACATTCAAAGCCCTTCTCTATGTACACGCCATTGCTCTGATAGCAAAGATCCGAGGACTTCAGAGCAATTTACAAAACTGGCAAGGTGCAGTGGCTGAAAATTCTCCCCAGCTAAACGTGAAAAAGGACATCTTCTTCGCTCCGAAGAGTGCAACCTTTTTAGAGCAAACCGCAGTGGGGAAGCTATCGAAAGAGCGGATGTTTTTTTTTCAATCTGGGAAACGATCTGCCACTGATGGTAGAGGGGACCAGACAACAGAGGCCCGAACAAACGCGCTTGGATGAAGTTGAAAGAGTCCAGTGGTATCTTCTACGACCGGTAGTGCTCCAGGCCATTCAAGGACAGAATGTGCCGGGCAGTAATGAGGTCTCCGATACACGATGCTGCGAGTGCTGACCCGCAGGCAAGAACCATGAAAGGCCTGCTGAGGTGAGGATACTGAGATGAGGGAGGCTGTGGCCGGACTCAAAAGCTCCTTCCCCAGGTTTGGTTGGCCTGTCGACCCGGGATTTAAACCCAGGTCCGCGCGAGTTGTAAGCGGGCTACAGTCACTAGACCACCTCCGCCTCACTCGACTGGATAGAGCTAGAAAGTTGTCACAGCAGTCATGCAGATGGCCTCTGTGTGAAGAAAAGAACGCACGAGAGCAGCGACTGCGACGGTGCGACACGTGTTGAGGAGACTTGAAGACCTATCGAAAAAGCGCTGAATTGCGAAGTCTCAGGCAAGCGATATAAATACCAAAGTAGAGATGGGCGGACGACATAAAGAAGGACCTCTTGAAGTTAAGGTCACGGCTGAAGATGCTTTTGATAGGAGAAAGTGTCGACGTCTTA